TGTCCTTTGATGTCAAGGTTTCTACTCTGCCTCATTTAAGAAAATCAGTTGAGGATGGATCTTCTCTGTTCTGAAACTGTTTGATTATTGCAGTATTCAGTATTTCTTGGAGATCGGTTACAGCTTACCTGTAAAATAGTTTAGGCCTGGGGCTTTTGGGAGAGGCTACTGGGGAATTCCAATACTTTAATGGCTACGGGTTTATTCAGATTTCCGTTTTTAAACATTAGTACCTTTCATCTGTAAAAACTTGCATTTTGGGTTGGGCATTTTACAGGGGTCGGGACCATCTGGCCCATGGGCTGTAAAAGGCCCACGGAATCACTGACTGGATCTGGCTCTGCCAAGGCAATTGCAGGTGGGACTCATAACTCAATAAGCCTAACGCAGGCTAATTTTTAAGATGGTAATTTTGTATGGCCCGTGGATGATGTGATAATATCCAAATGGCCCTTGGCAGCAGAAAGGCTGCCCGCCCATGTGAGACACTGGTTGGAGTGCCTGTTTCCCATGTGAGTACTTGGGTCCAGGTCCTGGCTCTGCTCCCAATTCCAGTTTCCTGCTCATCACCACCCGGGAAGCAGCAGGAGAGGGCTCAGGTATGCTCCTGACAGCCATGGGGAGACCTCGACCGAGGCCCTCGCTCCTGATTTCGGCCTGGCCCAGCCCTGGCCAGTGCAGGTATCTGGGGGGTCGACTGGTAGGTAGGGGCTCTCTGGCCATCTGTGCCTCCAATATAACAAACAAAACTTTCATTTTATTTGATCTTTCAGATGCATTGGCTGATAGATACTCATTTTTTTATTTTCATAATTTCAACTATAAATATCTTCCTTTTTTCATTCTTAATGTTTCACTTGTGTGACATCTTTACTTTCTGATTGGGCCTGCCTGATCAGAGACGGTTTTGTTGATAATTTATTGTTGATAATTTGTTGAATGAGACGGTTTTTGTTAATAATTTGTTGTTTATTGGTTTCCTTTTCCTTTTGTCTTTAAAAGAATCTTTTTCCTACTTTCTTTGGATTTACTCTGTTATATTACTCGAACTACCCAAATTCTTATTTATTTTCAACCTAGATGATATGTCAAAGACTAACAGAAGTATATTAAAATCTTCTACAACGACTGTAACTTTATTAAAATTTTTTACGTTTCTGGCACTTTTTATTTAATTTATTCATACTATGTTATTTGGCACATAAAATTTTACTGTGGATTGATTGTGCATTTTATTAATATAAAAGAATCCTCTTTCATTTCCTTGTGAGATGTGGGAGAAATTCTCAAATTTATCTTACAATAAACTGATTCCATTTCTGTGCTTTTCTGTCTTCCGCTCGTTGCCTCTGCTCCCTGTTTTAATTGGGTGATCATGTTTTTCATCTCTATTCAATCTTTCCTCATCTCAGATAGCTCTGTTTGCATTATTGCCTGTTTTGCGCCATAAATATAATATTCTCTCCAATCCTGTTAAGAATACAAATCAGGAGCTTTTAAAAACATGGTTCTTTTCCCTGCTGCTTCCAGAGGGGCAATTAGCGCCGCTTTCTCAGAGAGTCCCTTTCTTCTGACCTGCTGCATAGTCTACCCGAGTCCAGCTAATTCCTTGTTGGCACAGCATCATGGGGGGAGAGGAGAAACGGAGAAGGGAGACATTCCCAGTCTCTGAGGGAGGCCAGAAGAGCAAGGCCCACAGAGGTCCCGGCAGGAGCATTTCCTGTTCCCGGGCTGGAGAGTGTGTGTGTGTGTCTGTGTGTGTGTGCACGTTTCCTGTTCCCGGGCTGGAGGGGGTGTGTGTGTGTCTGTGTGTGAGTATGTGTGGCCCGTGCACAGCAGGATGCTGTTTTCCTGGCTCGCCAACAGAAGCCAAAGGAAGGCCTGGGTCCGTGTCCAGGGCCAATCTGGTTCTGTGGTCTCTCAGACCTAGTGTACTTCCAGAGGAGCTGGTACGACTGGCACCTGTTCCCTGTCCGTAGTCCACAGGCCCCAGACTCTGCTGCACTGAATGAGGTTGTCTTTGATCTTGTTTTTTTTTCCTGAAGGTTTCTGGCACTTGATTTCCGGCACTTGATTCCAGTTTCCTGCTCATTACCACCTGGGAAGCAGGTAGGATCTTACTTCATTTGTGGCAACCGTACCTTGATTAGGCCTTTTCTCTTTTTTTTTCTTGGGTATCCAATCTGTCAGAAATTTCTTTAAGCTGTTCATGAAAAGCACCCTTGCTTAATTTCCCATCTTTATGTCCCTTCGGCCATTCTGAAGGGAACCTGGAGAGGAGGTGTTATATACCTTCCCTTGCCGTCCGAGCTAGAAGTCATCTTTCCACACTATGGCAGGTAAAGGCCCTTCCTCTTTTGATCACGTCATAGACGCAGAAGCAGCAAGGACCACACGGCGAGGAGGCAAATAAAAATCAGGTGGTTCTGGAAGCCGGCTGGATTGTGGGGTGGTAAGGACGACATTGAGGGTTACAAATGTGACAAAACAGGTGTTTCAAGAGTCAGAAATGCAACACTGGAGAAGGTTTGGTGGGTTAGTCAGACCATTAAGTACTGTGTCTTGGAAGAGAAGTGAGGTGTGGAGGAGGGCACAAGTTTCCCTGGTTCAGGTGTGTATCAGGGCTGCTTTGGTAGAACGGGCAAATCCTTGGGAGTAGGGATGTGCCAGGGTCTGGGACGTAGGCCAGCAGCACCAGGGCAACAGCAGGATGCACCGGGCTCCTTCTGCACGTTTCTGTGTTGAGGTGGACCCCAGTGACAGCCTTCCACATCAGAGCCTCGACAACCAACTGGAGGTACAGAGGGGTTCTGGAGCCCATTTGGGAAACCCCAGCTGTGGAGCAGTTCTCATCCCCATTCACAGCCAAGCTCCTTCTCAGGAGGGCCAGGGGTCCTGAGCGGGGGCCAGAACAGCAGGGGATGTGTGACATCACCCCTCTCGCCCTCTGCTCCTTGCCTCCTTCCCCACCACTGCCTTGGGACCTCGTTCCAGATGCTCTGGGATCACAGGGTCCCTTGCGTGGCCTTTCATTCAGCTCAGAAACCACTGTCTGACCTTCTGAGGATGCTAAGGAACCTAGAAGCAGGAGGAGGACTTTGCCAACAAGGTCAGGCCCCATACTGGAAGGCTGCTCCCCAGGGCCAGCTGGGTGCACGGCTGCAGAGACAAAGTCTGCATTCTGAGACGGTCCTCCCCAGGAAAGGCGGGGATGGGCCCCCTTTTCCCCAACGTGCAGGACTGCCTGGGTGCTGCACCCCATGTGAGCCTTTTTGGTCTCTGACCTAGGTTTTTTTTCCCCAGCCTGATTGCCTTGGAAAGTCTCTGTTGTGTCTGTCTACATAGCTTCCCACTTAGCTAGGAGGCCAGGCCCTTGACAGTGCAGCTGTGTGTGCGCACCTGCTGTCTCTGTCTTAGGTGCTATTCTGAATCTAGACCACCCTGGAGAGGAATCTTGGTGCTGGTGTGCTCCTTGTGACCTCCAGCAACCTGGCAGCCATTTTTGCCTCTCCTATCAGACCATGTGCACAGAACTCCCCTCTCATCCCCCAATTATCCTATGCCACAAAGCTGCCTTTTGTTTCTAATGGCCTTCACCCAAGAAGGCCTGTGACTGTCAGCTCACACTCCTTCCATCTGCCCCTCTGTGGAGAAGGGGGTCCCTCTGACCCTATGGTCCCAAGTTCTGCTGTTGCTGATGACAAGTGGATGAAGGAGTGAGAGTCCACAGCTATGCCTGCAGACATGGTCCTCAGAAGGGCCCTTGTCTTGTGCTCTTTAGCTGGGATGTGCACAGTGTTTTATGCGGGGTTGACAAGCAGGGCCCAGGAAGCCACAGAGAGGGCCCCAATCCCAACTGGGCTCTGCTATGCTATTTCACCCAGAACCATCCAGTCATCTAATGAGGGCATCCTCTCAGGGAGGGGGAGAGACACCTTTAAACACACTTCCAGAGGACTCAGGCCCCAGGGAGTGGGTCAAATTTATCATCTCTAAAAGAAAAGGGCAGTGTTGTCACCGCAGCCAGAGAGCATCCTAGTGGATGAGGACTGATGGTTTCTTTTCGGATTTTCCAGAGCAGCAGCCGGTTGTTTCAAGTTTCTTATTTTTTCTTTTAAATAAACCTTTGCCTAATGTCACGACTTCTTTGGTTACAGGGAACAAAACTATATTAGAGTAAGTTAAAAGCTCTTTGGTCTAGGATGAAGATGGACATATTCTAGATGAGGTTTCCCTAAGAACCCATGTGATTAAGGCAGCTCTGTAACAAATTCTCTAAAGTCAGCTCTTTGATCTCTCTCTCTCTCTCTCTCTCACACACACACACACACTATTGGAGAGATCCACTTAATCACACACAAGGAAATACAAGACATATGCATACACAGTGTCTTAACAACTGTCTCTCCATAACCCTCTGTCTAATCCAAGTTCTGTGATTCTTCCTCATACACGTATCTTCGAATTTGTTTTCTTTAACACAGACTCCAACAAAGACTCAAAATAGGCGAAAGTGCACAGGCATGAGACCTGCTGACTCAGTACACAGGGAGACAAGATTCCCCAAACCAAAAAGTGCAGCCAGGCATTCACACGCATGTGGAACTGCACATATGAAAGAGCCCGTATCGACACATGGCTGCACACATGCACACATCGAAGGAGCTCTTCACTGTCTGTGTCGATGGTCCAAGTTCACAGTGAGAAATCTGATCCACTGGCTGCTCCAAGTGAAGCCACTATTACTCCTTATTATGCAGTCACTCGACTCTCAGTCACACATGCATTGCCACAGGCAGCTCCTAAGCAAACTCTAGAGCCGTAATAGGCACTCACATACCATTCTCCTTCGGCCCCCGCTTTCTCCAGAGGAGTGAGGGCAGTATCTTGGGACTCAGGCGGGAAGGAGGAAGTTCGGGCCGTTCACACAGCGATAAGCGAGTGCGTGCTGACCCCACCTCACCGCTAACATGCACACTCTGCCAAGTCTACCGTTTTACCTTGAGCACATCTCCTTCCGAGAGTTCGAACGCCCTGGCTTTCAGCTGAATCCCCTTCCCTGGCTGGGTCTGGATGGAGTAGATGCACTCGTGATTGTTGCTGTAGTTCACGGGGAAGTTGGGGGACAGCAGAGTGCCCTGGGTGCCCGTCACTGAGTTCCCACACTCAGCTGGAAAGAGAATCACAATAATCACAGATTAGCCCCCAGCAGCTGCACCCAGAACACAGCTCACAGTGCTGGCGAACCTCAGGAAAGCGGCGAGTTCTTTGCCTGCCCACTGGCCAAAGTCTGTGTACCTGTCCATCTGTCTGCCAAACTTAAAAATAAATAAATACATAAACAAATAAATAAAATAAAACCTGCCTGCTTACTGTGTTGCCTGGTCTTGTGCTCTCTCTCTCTCTCCTTCCTACTTATCCATCTCTCTTCTTCAGAAATAGAAATAACCCCCAGAGACCCTTCGCTTTCCTTGTGATATCAAGCAGCCCTTCCTCACACCTGTTCAGGTAGTCTCATAGCAACAGAAATGACCTGGGAGGGTGTCAGGGGAGGAGGGGACAGCCAGGGGAGGAGAAGAAGCCACGAGGGGTCCGGATGGAACAATAATCACCAGCCCCCGCAGGTAAAACATCACACAAACTTCAGTAAGCATAGGGGTCCCTGTGGGAGCTGGCACCATGCTCATTCCTGGTTTAAAGATGAGGAGCTTGGCGCTTAGACCTTCAGACCAAGCCTCTGATTTCATGAAGCGCAGGGGGCTGGGAACGCCCTCTCCTTGGTCCTGAAGCTGAGGGTGTCCCTGGGGCTCTGGTGAAGGTTCTAGGACAGTCCCAGTGGAACTTGATTCAGTCAGCGGTGAATGAGGGCACACCCTCCGAGGGACATGTTTCTCCTTGTGCAGAATTAGTGACCCTCTTCCCAGAGTCCCCAAGCCTTCATTTACGGTAGGCACCACGTCCTGCCTGACTTGTCTGTAACACTCCTATTTTCTCTGCTGCACTGTGGAGCCCTGGGGCTTGGGCACATTTCCACCTCGCCAACATTCACTCAGTGCCTGGACAAGGCAGGCCCAGTGGATGAAATGGGGGGCAGCTAAGGGGCAGGGTTAAATCTGGGGAGCCCACAGCGGGATCTCTAGGATCTGTCATCATGAAGCCCCTCTCAGAGCGCCTACCATCATGCACCCGGATTGCTTGTTCTTGCCTGGATCCCCCACCCGCACTGGGAGTGGAGGGCCAGGGTCATGTCTGATGAATCACTGAATTTCCAAGGCTTAGCCCAGATGGTCTGTAAAATAAATATTTGCCAAATGAACGAATGAATGACGGCGGCATACAGTGACCTCAGAAGATGTACAGTCCTAAAAATAATTAGGTTCCGAGAGGATGGAAATACAGGTCCAGATGGCAGGCCTGTGATTTGTCTGGCCCCGTGGGGAGTCTGGAGCACGCCTTCAATCTCTGGGGTTAATGGCGGAAAGTCTGCTTTCTCTGAAATGTTTTTCATGCTAGGCACCATCTGAGAAGAACACTGAGACTGATAAAGGAACCACGGCTTTGGCCACACAGTCCATCCTAACTGCCCTAAGCCATGGCGTTCTAGGTCCAGGTAGAGGAGCACGTGGAAGCTGGGGACCACGCCTCTGGCGGGCTGTCTGCTCAGGTTCTCTCTCCCTCACGGCTGCTCTCAGTCCTTCCAAGACGGCAACCCCATGCCTCCTGCAAGACCCTGCGTTTTGGCATGTCCTGCTCCCTGGCCTGTCCAGCTCAGGCCCAGCTTCAGTTTCCTAAGGCTTTACACAAGCCCTCACTTACTTATCTTGGAGGAGACATCAGCTTTGTGATCCTTTAAACTCATTCTGTTTGCAAGCCCACCAAATATCACGATGAATGCACTGGGCTGGGACCAGACACTACTGGGGCCATGGTGTGTGTTTCCTGGGGGCCCTCAGATGAGGGTGGGACTTGGAGGGGTAGCTGGGGGCTGTGCACATTTAAACACCTGTTACTCGGGGGCCCCTGGGCAACACTTGGGGGCATCTCTCCACTGTCTCTGGGCTAACACACCTTTCCCCTGTCCAGGAAGAGCATGGGGCAGCGGGATAGGTGTGGACTTTGGCGTCAGACAGAGGAGTTATCTCACCTCTCTGACCTCAGTCTCTTCCATCTGCCTTCATCTGGACATCATCATCATCCTCATAGGACCACAGAGAATAAATGCACATGGCTTTAGGTGTAAGACAGCTGAACACATGGGAGTGGTTAGTAATTACGACGTCTCTAACCAGTGTTACTCTTCCTCCGTCTCTTCACCTACCCTAGGGGAATCTTTGTGGTTCACCTGCTTCTGTATGGGGCCATAACTGCCAGCATTCTGGGAACTGGCAGGAATCCCAGGGCGCTGATGCGAATCCTGCCTTAGCTGCCTGTGGTCTGCAGCCTCCTCTTCACTCCTGATGGCTCTTGCCCTCTGCCCAGTCCCTGTCAGTCAGCCTCTCCTGAGCACAGCCTTGGCATATTTCTGGCCCTCCCTCCCGGCCCTGGCATCCCGCATCATAGCTGAATGCCCGACCTCTGCCCCAGCGTCACCTCCTCATCTTTCCCACGCGCTCAGCAGCTTGATAAGGGACGAAGCAGGGCCAACAGCGTCAGATGCGGCCAGCTCCTGGCCAGTCCCCAGGTCCTGACTCCCTGCCAGGGCCTCTGTCCTGGGTACCAGGAGGGGCACAGAGGGTGGAGGGACACGGCACTCACTTCTGGGAGAACTTCCAAATGAACAGGAGAGAGGAGCAGATGCACCGAGAAGTCAAACACCAGCGTAAATGGAAACAAATCCGTGTTCCAGGGAAACAAACAGTCACGGGCCCCAGAAATTGCTTGCCGCTGATTCAGACAGCTGCGACTTCTGTCGTCCCTGTCGGACACGGGCTCGCTAAGGGCAGGGGCCGCGTCTCAGCCATCAGTCTGGGGCTCCTGGGGCCGAGGGCCAGGTCTTCTCTATCACGCGGGGACTTCCAAGGACAAGACCATGTCTTTTGTGCGGCAGACAGGGGGGTCTTCTGGGGTCAGGGCTGTCTCTTCCATGTAAAATTCAGGGGCCCCTGAGGTCAGAGGCTGTGTCACTCCCCATACCCCCCTCTCAGTCACATCATGAATTAGAGCCCATGGCTGTCCCTCTCCCACTCAGCTGGGAATGGTGCTGGTCACACTGTGTGGGCTAGGTCATCCCATTTATACCCACGGTGTGTGCGTGGGTGTGTACTGTGGCTGGGATTGTCCCCTGGGCAGGTGCTCCCATGATGCCTCTGGCCCCAGACTCTGTAGCAGGGCTGGTGGTAATTAGAGGTGATTGTAATTGCTGTGCGTTATTAATAACATGTGAAACAGAAGACAAATGTAATAATGAAAATACTGGGAGGTGTCATGGACAAACAGTAATTGGAATAATAAGTTAAAGAATGAGTTTATGTAATGAGATCAATGAGGCGAGAGCTTACGCCGGGTGTGCATTCACAGTCCTGGAAAATCCCATACAACAAACCTTTACCATCCCTGGAACCACTTAGGTGGGGATGCTCTCCAGAGACAGGAGCTGCTGGAGGGTGGGTGCAGATACAAAGGGACCCTCCCTGGGGAGTCGAGGGGGGAGGGGAAGAGCTCCCTGCATGTCTAGATAGGGCGGGGGGTGGGGGATGGTCACAAGGGAAAGGATAAACTCTGAGGTTATTTCACGGGTCAAGGATGGAATCCTGCAACTCTATCTCAACGTTTTCTCTCTGAGATTGTAAAAGGCTATTGGCAAAATAGCGATACTTAGTTATCAATGGAAAACGATAAGAAGGCTACTGGGAAAATAATGATTAGGAATTAGTAGTGATCATCTAATCTGGAATTGAGCCGGTACCGGCATTGGGTGGTGTTATCGCTGCTTTGCAAGTGAGGGAGATGGGGCTGGGAGGCTCAGAGGTCTGACCCAGCTCACCTGCCGGTACGGGGCCCAGCAGAGAGACTGGTGCTGGAGCCAAGTCCACGTGTCAGCCTGCATGAGCTGACTCTGCCTCTAGGGAGTGGTGTCAGGTAAGGCTGACCTCCTCGGCTTGGAGATGCTGCTCTTGATTTTAGGCAGGGCAGTGCTGCCTTGATCTGTTTGGAATATTTTATGGAGTTTTACACCATATTTCACTTGACGTGGGTTCCGTAGCCAACAGCGAGGCCGGTGAGCACCCCGTTAAGTCATTCTGTATCTCATCTGGCCCTACATCACGAGCATGGAGCAAACAGAGCTGCTGACCTCACAGCTCAGGGACAGCAGCCATTGGCCCTGCTCCCTAGACTATCCCCTCACACACACACACCCTCCCCTGCCCCCAGCTTGGACTCTGGACAGCATTCTGTAGAGCCCTGGCAAGGAGACAGGCAGGGGCCTGGGTCCAGTACCAGCCAGCTCCCCCTCCACCTGCAACCCTGTTCTCCCCACCGCTGCTTCCAGGCCGTGCCTCCGGGCACTTCCTTCTCTCTCCTCCCAGATACTTGCACTTTGGAGTCTTGAATCCCTTCCCGCCTCCCTGAAGCACACACCCATCAGAAAGGCCTCTCCTGAGTGCTCTCTCTCGGAGATGAGCTGTCCCTCCAGCACTTCCTAAGCAGAATCCCCCGAACTCCTCGGCCTGCCCGGCACCTTGCACTCCCACGTGTTCACGGCTGTGTCCCTCACTGAAGTGAGCCCACTGGAGGGGAGACTCCCCTGTTTTGTCTGCCATTGTATTTCTAGGACCTAGAAGCATGCAAGGGGTGCTTGGTAATAAGCCCAACTCCTGCTCCCCTCTTTCTTCCCCTGCTGAATGCAAGGGGTTTCTCTAGGGATTCTCCAAGAACAAGCACCCCAGTTGGCTGGCAAGAGCATCACCTGCTCTGCAAGACTGGGACTCCTCTTGGGCGAGGCTCCACCTCCTTCCTATGGACCCAGCCAGACTTGTTCTCTGCAAGAGGCATCCTGCGGGCCGGTGCTGTAGCACAGTCGGTTAAGCCGCCGTCTGCAGTGCTGGCATCCCATATGGGCTCTGGTTCAATTCCCTGCTGCTCCACTTCTGACCCGGCTCCCTGCTAATGCGCCTGGGAAAGCAGATCTTGGGTCCCTGCACCCATGTGGGAGACCTGGAAGAAGCTCCTGGCTCCTGACTCTGGTCTGGCCCAGCTCCAGCTGTTGCAGCGATTTGGGGAGTAAACCAGCGGATTGAAGACCAATCTCTCTCTCTCTTTCTCTGCCTCTCCCTCTCTGTAATTCTGCCTTTCAAATAAAATAAATGAATTTTTAAAAGAATTTTAAAAATAGGCCTCCTGAAGCCTTGGGCCTTGTGTAAAGGGGGCACGGGGGTGAGGCACAGAGGTGAGGGGATGAGACAGTTGATGTCAATTTCATTTGCATGCACACTGTACATCTTCTTGCCACTAGCCAGCGTCGCCTACAGAACAGCCCCATGGAGCAGGTGCTGCCATCCTCCTCCACAGACAAGGAGGCTGCAGAAGGAGGTTAGGCCACCCGCCCAGGTCTTCAAAGGCTCCACCATCCTCAAGCCCAGGCCCAGGTGCATCCACCGCCTCCTCGTGTCAATAGACTAACATTGGGCCCACCCCATTAGTGAAGCAAAATGAAAGCACGTGACCACCTACCAACACACCTTGGCAGAGGCGAGCTCCAGAGGCGCCGTCTGCCCCCCAGGCACGTGATGCGGGCGGTGCCCTCCAGACGGTACCCGGGGAAGCAGGAGAAGGTCAAGGTGTCACCCACGCCGAACTGCAGGCCCTTGCGGATACTGTAGGCTGGGACCTCCGGCTCCTCGCAGGGCTCCAGGTCATACTCTGCAAAGGCAGCAGGAGGGCCATGAGGGCCATGCTCAGGGGCACGTGCAGGTGATGCAGGGAATGATGACAGGACACACAGAACACAGGACACTCCCCTGCCAGGGGAGCAGGGTCAGAGACACAGACAGGAGCCGGACACACGCGCATGCGTGACGGTCCACAGACGGTAGAGTGGAAAGAAGCACGTGGCTGAGAGGCAGGGAGGACGAGCTGGGGCGGTCGGAGGCCCGACTGCTGTGAGTGGTGGGACAGGGCGCCCGCTTAGGAGAATCGCTGCCCAGGAGGGCTCAGGAGGCGCCCCAGGACTTGACCCTTCCCTGCTTGGTCCTTTCATCTGCATTTGAACCCTGAGCCCAGGCGGCTTGCAGATTCTTCCTCTCTGGGCATTGAGCCCAGATCCATGCAATCACCAGTTCTAGAGGGTCACCCTGGATGACCCAGCCTCGGGCAACTTTCACAGCCGGGAAGACTCCAAGCACCCGGCCCGAGGCCATGTCTCAGCACGGCACTTGAAGCAGCTGGTCGGCAGGATGGGTGGCGTTTACAGCCTGAGGACTTGCCTGTGCCTCTAAAGACAGGACAGACACTGGTTGGATCTCTCTTATCGGCTAGGCCAGCCCGGGCAGTGGCGGGGCCCGGGCAGTGGCTGGGGGCTAAGCTAGGCCACATCCAACTTCCTAGAGGCCAGATGCCTCTGGCCTCCCAGGGGGAATCTGTCTGGCAACTCTGCTCCTGGCTGACAGCCGGGGCAGGCAGGAGACTGTTGCCCAGGGGACACGAGCGGAGGGCAAGTCGGCACTAGAGGAGGGAAGGGAAGCCAATGAAGGGACTTTCTTGTCCGGATTCCTACACCCCAGGATAACCGTCCATTACTACATCAGCACGGACAAGGAAGATCTCAAATGAGATTAAAACACTCTGATACACTAATCTCAGACTCCCTTGGCTCCCTTCTGTTTGTTTCTAAATGTCTGGGGTTGTGAAAGAGTAGAACCAGGAGAAACATTTGGGATTAGCAGGGCAGGAGGGGGCTTGTGGGCAGTCCTCTGGTCTCACCAGCTGGGTGAGCAGTACCTAAGAGATGGAGATTCCCTAACGCACCTGTCATCTCACTCCCAGACCATGACAGGGAGCTCGTCCTTGTGCCTAACCCACGTATCTATCTTTTGCTGCAATGCTGCAGTGACTCCCAGAGACTAGGGAGTATGTTGATACCCATCTGCTGGGAAGGCCAGAGGCTGGCAGCACTGGGTGAGAGGGAGCAGCTCTGTGGCCTCCTCCCTCCCAGGACCCTCGGGCTCTTTACCTGAGAAGGTGATGTTGAATCCTTCGTAGGACATGGAGAAGTCGGAAATGAAGCGCACTTGGGCGGTGAAGTTGCCGTAGAGGCCAGCGCTGATGGGCGCTGGCAGCCGCGAGCCCGTCAGCTGCCGCAGGGGCTGCGTGAAGCTGCCGTTCTCGGTGATGAGGAGGTAGTCATGGCCGCTCTCCAGGTGGAAGGTGTGGAATGTGAAGAACACACCTGCCGGGAGACCAGAGGGGTCAGGCTGGCCACAGCCAGAGGGCATGGGGAGCCCGGCTGCAGGACAGGATCTGCGTCCACTAGGGGGTGTCACACTAAGCATGCATGGAGAGTCTCAGTGAAGGCACCTGGACTTGCCATTACCCAAAGATCCAGTTGGGGAGAAGGGCACCTTTATGCAGTAGGAACATTCGAAAGGCAGGTGTCTGGCTAGGGCAGCGAGAAGGCTGCGCAGCCACTCCCTCATTCATTCAACGGGCATCTGTGTGTGTGTGTGCTGAGTGTTCCCTACGGGCTAGGAGCCAGGGGCGGTGCAAGGGAGCTACAAGATGTGGCTCCCAGGTGGACTGACGGATGCTAGTAAGAATGCAGATCCGGATACCATGAGGTCAAACGGGGAGCGGTTTACAGCGGGAGGTGGAGAGTGTAGATGACTTCTCTAAGGAGTAAACACTGGGTTCAGGTCTCAAAAGTGCACGGGAATTAACGAGGTAAGAGGAGAAAGAGCTTGTGTAGAGGGACAGAGGTGGTGCTGACTGTGGGGCTCGGGGAGGCTCGGTGGGCAGGGCGCTGGGGGCCGCACGTGCTCAGCAGAAACACCTGCAGCTGAGGCTGTAGAGGGCTGGCGACACACCCCATCTTTTTCTGGAAGCAACCAGAAGCCACGCTCAGGGAACAGGTTTGAGTTTTAGCCAGACTTTGGTGGTGATGAGGAAGACAAGGTGGACAGGGAGGTCAGCTGGAATGATGTGCCCTGTGCGAGCAAGGATGGGGCTCAGTGGACGGACATAGGACCTCAGGGGGTGGGGTGGACAGCAGCCAGTGGGCACAGATGTGAAAAGATGCCTGGGAGGGCCTTGCCTGGAAGGACCCAGGTGTTCTTTGTTATTTGGGGAAGGATGCGAGGGAGAGGTAATGGACTGAGCCCGGAACACAGCAGGGACTTGTACTCAACGTGTGGAGCTGGAAGCTCAGGACTAAGGTGGGAGTTCAGAGGTAGATCTGAGAGTGGCCACTGAGCGGGTGCTCCTGGAAGCCACAAGCAGGGAGAAGAGGGAGAGTAGGCAGAGGCAGAGTCAGATGAGGGGTGAGGGGACGCCTGGACAGAAGGGACAAGAAACAGGAGACAGGGGAGACGGGCAAGGAGTCGTCAGGGAGGTGGCAAGAGGGAGCGGAGCACTGTGCTCAGTCAAGCATAAAACAACCACACTGGTTGGCACGTTGGTTAGACCCAACCTCCTAATCCTAGAGCTGCACATTTGGTGCCCCTGTCCTGTCTCATCAGCTCTGCAGACAACCCCTGGCAACAGAGAGGAAACATATAACAAATCCTCTGATCCTGCCAGCAGCCCCACAACATGGCTATGATGGGTATCATCTCCAGATCGCAGCCGAGGAAACAGGCACAGGGAGATTAAAGTCTTTTTTCCAAGGGTGTCCAACTAGCAGGTGGAAGGGCTTGGATGGGAAATGAGGCTGCAGAAGCTGTGCTCTGGACCGCTCCAGGACGCTGCTCCCTGGACTCACAAATAGAGCAGGTGGTGGGCAGGCCACACCGTGACAGGACTAGGTAGCAAGGAGGGTTGTGGAGCAAGTAGCGGGATCTCAGCACTCAAAGCAAGTTCCTGAATCTGTCCAGATGGCTCTTGTGTTTGGGAAGTGGTGGGGGTGTACTTGTCAACATGCATGAACCCACAAGTGAGTGTGGCCATGGGAATTGTGTGTGGACCATGCCAAGGCAGGTGCATGGGCAGAATTGAGTGCCAGACCCACTTGCTACTCAAAGTGTGGTCCATGGATCAGCAGTGCGGGCATCACCTGAGAGCTTGTTGGAAATGCAGAAGCTTGGCCTTTATTGCAGACGTGCTAAATCAGAATCTGCATGCCAACTAGGTCCCTGAGAGATTGGTAGGTACATAAAGTTGGAGAAATACCTCTCTAGATAATTACTAATACATTTTTGATAAGTAATGGTTGGACCCAAGCTCTTAATCCTAACCCTTTTATAAAGCTTTCCTACTCTTGCCTCCCTATTGGTAGGAGCTGTAGATCCCTACGTTTGAGGCTTCTGTGGGTGGGGATGGGGAAGACAGAACCAAGCGGAGGTGGTGAGACTGGGTATGTGGCTCGCCAATGGTTGGACCCCGGCAACTGTGAGGATCCATGAGTTTATTTGCTCACAGACATGGCTCTGAAGCATCTACTGAGTGCCAGGCCTTGTGCTAAGCCCAGTGTTGTAGAGGAGACAGAAGCACCCATAGTGAGAATCTGGGGTGAGGCACAGAGGAAGGGTGGGTGACTCAGCCCCCAGGGTTGGGAACATTTCACAGCAGGTGTGATCCTTGGCCGGAGGGAGTGCGCATCCATGGAGCAGGCACACGGACATGTGTGCCTGGAGCTATGCTGCTCTCCTGACATGTAAACTCACGTGCAGCTGAGAAAACTGTTTTTAGTCTAGAGAACTGGGGAAATGCATCTCCCTCCCCTCCTCTGGGTGCACCATGTTGGGTAGGGGGTGGGGCAGACACAGTAGCAGGTGGCAACAAGTTGATTAAACACCAGGCTTTGCACTGTATTCTCCTGGCACGCAAACACAGCCCCTCCCGCGGAGTCAACATTCGGCTGGGAGTCGAAGGATGAGCAAACAACTGAGATGAAACCAACCCCTGGGTTTCCCAGCTGTGCTGATTGCTTAGGGCTCTTTGGGCCACTGTGAGAAAATGAAGACATTGTCAGGGAAATGGAGAGGCCCCATGTTGGAGTCTGAATCCACATTTGGAGTGACAGATGCACACACAAACGAGTGTTTTGCTGGAGTAAGCCATGTAGAATTGCACCAATGAATTCATGCAGGGGCATCAGGAGCAGGGCCCTGGACAAGGCACCCGCGGGTGGCAGTGAGACAGGCTTGGATCCAAAGCCTACGCACTCGCTGGAGGCCTTGGCCAATGAGCTTGGCACCATCGAGTACTGGCTTCCTCAGCTCTACGCGTGGATAATCTCTCACTCACAGGTGGCAGCTAATGCCCCAAGGGAGGAACAACCGCACAAGCATAAAGCACGCAGCAGGGCACCTGGCACACGTGAGGTGTGCAAGAGTCATTCTCGGACAGCCTGGCGGGTTGAAAGATGCCCGCCCTGGGCCTTGGCAAGGACACAGTCTCTGAGCTCCTGAGCTGGCCATTCCCTCAGGCTGGGCATGTGGCAAGCTGGGCAATTCCAAATTTCATATAAAGCTTTTTGTTTTTCCAGCCTGTTTGGGAGCCAGCAGAGCCAGCAGCACTAGTGGTCAGTGGCCCCGAGACACTCCTACGAGCAGAGCTCAAGCAAAGTAGCACGAAAGACTTCTCCAAGCTCGAGTGCCAGGCCCGGAGCCAGAGCTGGGGAAGTGAGACACAGCTGTCTCTCAAGCAGCTCGTAGCCCGTCACGGATACAGAAGACAAAAATGCAAGGCCTGGGCAGTGGGTGCAGGCTGGGACCGGGCAGACGCACGATGCTCCACAGGAAGGAGCCCAACCCGGACGCAGGACTGGGGCCAGGGCGTCAGGGAGGCCCACTCACTGGAGGACCGAGTGCAGGGAGAAGAGCTGGCAAAGCAAGGGGACCGCTGGGAATCCCTAACCCCTGCTGAGGAGTGCGCGCACCACTGAGGGACGTGATCCCACAACGCGCACAGCTCTAGCGGGTTCCAAGAACTGCAGGGTCGGCGCAGCCAGCACTTGTTTAGAGGGCTCGGGAAGCGGCTGAGAAAGCGAGCCGGGGTGGCAGGGCCGTGCTGCCTAGTTCACCCTTTGGAGCTCTATGCGGAGGCTTCAGGGAAGCCTTCAGAAGGTTCTTAGGAAGAGGGGCCCGGCCATCCACCCATGACCTCTTGTCCAGTCTCCTAGCACCTTTCATCCAGGCTACTCCCTACCAGCTTACGCCCCTGCCTCAGAGGCCTTTCCCCAGCTCTGTCCGCTCGGTCACAGGCTGGCCGCACAACACGGAGCTCTCAGTTTGGGGCCCTCTCTCTCCTGTGTTAGATCAGAGTTCTCCAGGACAGGCCCGCACAGTGGCTTGCTCAGGCGCACCTTGCCAGCAGCATGTGTACAAAACACACCTTAGGCCGGCGCCGCGGTTCACTAGGCTAATCCTCCGCCTAGCGGTGCCGGCACACCGGGTTCTAGTCCTGGTCGGGGTGCCGGATTCTGTCCCGGTTGCCCCTCTTCCAGGCCAGCTCTCTGCTGTGGCCAGGGAGTGCAGTGGAGGATGGCCCAGGTGCTTGGGCCCTGCACCCCATGGGAGACCAGGAAAAGCACCTGGCTCCTGGCTCCTGCCATCGGATCAGCGCGGTGCGCCGGCCGCAGCGGCCATTGGAGGGTGAACCAACGGTAAAGGAAGACCTTTCTCTCTGTCTCTCTCTCTCACTGTCCACTCTGCCTGTCAAAAAAATAAAAAAAAAAAGTTTAAAAAAAAAAAAAACACACACCTTAGGTAAATGGCTGATGACCTGTGCTGACTTCTAGGCCTGGGCACAGGTAGAGAGTTGTGTATCCCTCCAACAGCAGACACCCAGGTGCAGACTGAAGGGCCCGTCCCCTGGGGTCACACGGAGATGCCCGACTTTTCCACGTGGTGCCACAGAGTAGCTTCCAGCTCCTACAGTAGGCGCGTCTGAGCAGCCCTGGTGGAAAGGCCTCTGGGGCTGATCAAAGACGTCGCCCCAAGTCTTCCCCCAGCCCAGGAACAATACTGTGGGACAAAGGGGCAGCCTCAGGACTTTTTGCTCAGAAAAGCCTCTGGCCATCCTAGTGTTGGCCAGGGGGCCAAAGTGCATCCCCTGAGTTCATGTGGTGGGGTCATCAGTGACTTTAATTACATATCTTCTTTGTTTACATAAATAATGTGTTTTATATGTAACAGATACCTCTATTGCTCAAAAGTAGAAAAAAAAAAAGCCAAAAAGTGCAAATGAGAGGCATCCAGACTTTTCTCTGCACATTCTTGCTCCGGTACTGAACATATTCTTTCGGCAAACTTCATTTGTTCTGTACCAATGGACTACAATCACCTCTGGTCTTTACGTATTTTTCCACATTATTCCGTTCAGTAGCTGCCTAGGAGTTCACGTCATGGTTGTACCGTAACATGGCATTATTCGTTATTTTCTTACTGATGGGCATCTGAGGAGTTCCTAATTTTCAATATAATAAATAAATACTTTAGGAGACAGCCTTGCAGCTAAATCTTGCTGTGTAGTTTTCTTTATCTTCAGAGAAATCCAGTAGATTGGAATCGCCGTGTCCAAAGGCATGTCTGTGGAATCTTCGAAAAGTTCATGGAAAATGTGACTTAGGGAAACACTAGGCACGGATTTCACAACTATGGCACCAAATGAAACAGAGATTTGCATTCCGTTCTCCCAGGAAGGGTCTGAAGTTCTGTTGTTTCTCGGGAAGGCTGTGGACAGCCACCTGCAGGGGCTCTCTGGGAGGTCACCCATTTCCTGGGGCTTCAGCAGTGAGTGCTCCTGTGACTCAAAGGGAAATGGCATTTCATTACTGGGACAATTGCACTTCTTTAATTATTAGAGGGGGGTTGATGGTTTTTCATTTGCATTTCCTCTACCACAAAGCCTGGGGTTACAGCTCTGCTTGTCTTGCAGGTCCATGCCAGGGCTGTGACTCTTATTAAAGATTTTAAAGGGTTCTGTATGTGTTAGGTTGGGGATCCTTAGTCAATCACAAACACTGCAAATAATTTTGTCTACTATTTGACTTTGAGCTTTTTATGGAGTTTTTCTTAGACAGAAATCCTTTCCAAGTTGTAATTAATTGAGCCTAACAGTCATGGCCCTGATGCATCCTGCTTTTGATGTTACTCTTAGAGTACATCCCCACCTGAGGTCAGATGGCTGTGTTCTTCCGCTGCTGGAATTACCAGTTAAATGTACGAGGTAAGCATTGGGCTATTTTCCCAAATGTGTAAGCCCACTATTTTAACGTCGTTCAATAAGTAACCCATCCTCTCTTAAATGGATCTAAATATATCACTTGAACCACATACTACGGTCTGTCTCTCTCATCTGTCCACAGGCAGGTGTGTTCATGCACACATGCAATACACACATGCACACACGTGCATACATGGGCACATGTGACCCATGCATTCACAGGAACCTATTTCTGGACCTCTAGTCTCCCATGTTGATATGTTTATCCCCTTGTGTCCTGTCCTCACACCACATTGCTAATGTTATTTTAGCTAATAACAATGTTCTTGAATTTTTTTTTCTTGGCTCTTGCACATGGTAATTCTTCTCTGTCAGAGATTCTTAATTAAAGACATGCAACAGAATGACTGGTGAAGTGTCCAGAAAATGCAGCTGCCTCATCTTTACTTCCAACATGGCCAACCCAAACCCCCAGGGTGGGAGCTCAGCATGAGCGCAGTTGCCGAACCAGAAGCTACTTGCCAAGACTCAGTAAACTTCTCTCCATGACTCAATAAACTTTGCAGCGAGCACCTGAGGGTAGAGGCTGTATCTGCCTGCTCACTCCTGATGTCCAGCCCTTGCATCACCCACACCTGTGTCATTTAATAAATATTTGCTGAATGAAAAAGTAGATTGAAGAATGCTGATTTGTAACCGTCATCCTTGCTTTGAACTTGGACTCTCAAAGATCACTTATGTTAGGGAAGCTGAGGCAAGAGCAGAGCTCGGGAAGAATATGAAAGCAGAGGAAGAGCTGAGTGCTGCGAGAGGGGACTGCTCTGTTCAGCATCTGAAGGGAAGATGGGAGGAAGCCAGGGCAGGTGTAATGGTCCTCCAGGACAGGACAAGGAAGACTGTTTAAGAGACACCCAACAGACTGCAAGAGGGGACAGGTCTACCGGAAAAATGATGTGTGCAATGAGTTGGTGACTTCCCTATCAGTGAGATGTTTAGGTAGAGGCTGTGCCATCCTCCTGTGGGGAGTGATTTCGAGATTTGACAGGCGGGAACCAGTAACATCTCACTCAGCATAACGATTTTCGATTTGGAATGTTTATTGAGTGAGCTCTGTGATTCGAAGAGATAAGAAGGCTCTGGTCGGTAAGAAAAGTTCAAACTCAGCCTTTGTGCGTCACCTGAGTCACAGCTCAAGGTCAGGCTGAGGGGAGATCCCCACTGCCAGCACCCTGGGGAACTTGCTGCCCTGACCCGGTCACAGACCCGCCGTGGACCTGAACACTCACCCTTGCCATGCGATGTTTCAATGACCCAGGTGCAGTTCAAGTTGTTGGGGTAGAAGTCAGGGAAGCCTGGTGACAAGATGGTCCCACTGGAGCCTTGAATGAAGCCCCCACAGAGAGCTACAGGAGGAGTGAAGAAGAAGTGAAGACCCACACGGCTCAGGGTGCTCCCCCCATGATAACTCCCGAGACCCCTTCCCCAATCTCCTCCCAGACCCCCTGTGTCTTGTTGATGGGGTGGAAGAGCCAGGGGCCCCTGGAAGGCAGGGAAGGAATCTGCAGTTTCAGGGTCCCTAGGGCTGTCCCTCACCTTCACAGCTGGGCAGAGCTCGACTCCACTGGAAGTTGGGTTCACATTCCAGGGGCTCCCCATCACTCAGTGTGTAGCCCGAGTCGCAGCTGAAGGTCACCAGTGCGCCAACGTAGAAGTCATTCCCGTGACGCTGCCCGTTTACAGGGATCCCTGGGTCCAGGCAGTGGTCTGACTGCAGGGTTATAGCTGGAAAGTAGAGGCCAGAGCTGGGAAAGAGCTCACCGCCACCACACAGGGACCCCAGCTACTCACAAAGAGAGGGCACAGAGAGCCCTGGCTCATAATAGACAGAGGATGCCCACTATCGATTGAGGGAGAAAAACACAAGTAAGAAAATGGCCCGGTGGTTATGGTGCTCTCAGCCCTAACTTTCCAGATTGTTCTTCAAAGACCGGAAGTAACATTGGTTCTTCCCATTCAGGGGGTGAATGTAGAAGCTGATGAGAGAGGGTGAGGGTGATGGGAGACGGCGTCTCACTTCACGTTCACACTTGGTCAGATACTCTGTCTCCAGAGTGCCCAGAGAGAAGAGGGCACCCCATTGCCTGCACACACAGGGTGGATGTGGGGTGAGCACACGAGACCCCAGTGAAGGTCACGGGCAACTCCACAGGCTCACGATGCTGACAACCAGGGAGCATTCCGGGAGGAGCACAGGCTGACACAGAACCCATGGGACAGTGCCGAGCTGTCCTGGGTCCTCTCACCCTCAAAAGCCAAGCTCTCCGTCACCTCCCGCTGCCCGCCCCCTGAGACTCACTCTCGTAGCGGAGCTGGAAGCCGATGTCTGAGTGACTCTTGTCAGTAGAGAAGAGGAGGTAGAGGAAGTTGCTGGTGCTGATAAGGAACTGGGGGACCTGGGTTCCGTGGTAAACCCCGATCAAAGGCGCCGAGTACGTCCGTCCATCCCGCACTTCCAGGGTATCGTAGTTGACTTCCGTTTTGAATCTGCCAAATGGTGGAAAGGAAGATGTCTCAAGACACCCATAGTTTACTAATTTACAAATTACCAAAGGTGCTGCGGGACCCAGGGCTCCACGACCACGTCTGGGCAGGCTGGGATCTCTGAACCCGATTTACACGCGTTCATTAGCCATGTGGAAGGACCTTCTCCACTGGCTCTGACCCCTCTTCTTTCCAGGGTTGGACAGAGAACTCCCTACCCTCTCCCAGGCCTGGACTGACTGTGCCCCACCTTAACTCCTGGAGGCACCAAGACTCACCACATGGAAGTGAGAATGTTTGTGCCCAGAGGTCAACAAACTAAAGCCTGAGGCCAGATCTGGTTTACTGCCTGAGAGGTAAGAATGGTTTTTACAAATGCTCAAGGGGTGTTAAAAAAACAGAAGCAAGGAAGATGATGCAACTTGCAAGAGGGTAAATCATCCATAAAACCCCCAATATTGACCATCTGCACTCTTGCAAATAAGTGTGCAAGCTACTCCAGGCCACGAACGCTTTGCTGGGAAAAAGTATGTGTGCACATCTTGGGGGCTGCTTTCCCCTCTCAAGGGGCACCAGCAAGGCGGAAGCTACAAGTGGCGCCTATGAGCAGAATTTGGGTCAGAGGTCAGCGCGGCCACCTTTCCACATGGGACATCAATTTCTGGCTCATGAACCCTTGAATGCTTCGACACCTGATGGTGTCTGTCTGCCTGCTCTTCTGTTGGACTGGGAGAGAAGGACCCTGACATCCCAAGTGACACCCCAGCCTACCCCAGGCATGGTCCCCACCCAGTACAAGCCAAGCACAGAGGCCAAGTGGGTAAGGTCCGGCCTGCCCCCTACCCGGGGCAGTCTGCTCCAGAATCCTCTGCTCTTGTGACATTTCCACCTCGGGGCTGGCCCCCTACCCACCCTGCATTCCTTCCAACATGGCTCCACAGGCATAGCCCCCTCCTCCCTCTCCCCCAAGGCTGTGGCTACAGGCACCTGTCGAAGGTGATTTTGATGGGGTAGCCTGGCTGGGCTTCGATCACCCAGGCACAGCTCAAGGCATCCTTGTAGAAGCCAGGCCAGCCCGGAGACAGGATGGTCCCGCTGGGCGCAGTCAGATGGCCACCACAGGGAGCTGGGGAGACAGAAAAGAGAGAAGTTGTTTTCTCAGTGGGGTGGGGGCAGGGCCAAATGAACAAACAGCAGAGCCTCTCTACGAAATGTATTTCTTCTGTTCTCACGGAAAATGGCATAAAACGCAAACTGTGTGTTTCGTCTACTAGGGCCTTTAGGGGACACAGCCAGCTACATCCTTGGAAATTTTTATTAAAGGCCAGAGGGGGAGGAATGAAAAGAATCCTTTGAACAAGGTCCTTCTGTCGTCGGAGAAGGGCTGGTGCACAGCTAGTATGTGGGTCACACTGGCTCCATCCTTTGTTCCTCACTCAATTGTCAGGCCTGAGGCAGAGGCCTAGGCCCAGCCCACCTCCTCGCATCCAGCTCTGGAGACCCAGTGGTCACGACTCCAGGGCTCTCAGCACAGAGCTCGCCGCTCCCTGCTCCACTGGCAGCTCCCTAACGTGTCTTACACAGCACCACCCCCTCCCGCCTGCCTTTAGCATGGCGCTAGGCATGCGCCTGTTTCTCAATGCTTGTTGTTGGACACACGGATGACTGAAGGGAAGGGTGGACGGCTGGCAGCCATGGCCAGCGAACCCCCCGAGCCCCAGGGTGGTGGAGGCATGTCTCCTGCTGTCACCAACCTTGCAGAGCCTCATTGAAGTGCCCAGGCCACCCTCTGCCCACTCCTCTCTTCTCTCAGCTCCTCATTCTCACCTGCATCTCCTCCTGCTTCTTCCTGCAAACAGCCCCTGGCCCCTGTGGTGGCTGTGACAGCTGCCCCAGCACTCCTCGTTCAGGGTCTGCAGCAAACATCACTGCCCACCTCCTTGAAGGTGTATATGTCACAGGGCTGCTCTGATCAAGAAAATGAGAGCTGAAGTCATGTGTGTCATGTCCATGTGTGAGCCGAAGAGCCAGTGTGTGATGGGCAGAATTTCCTATTCTTGCCTCTGGGATTGGGGAAGCCAAGTGTGTCGATGGAGCAGACACCCCAACTCTGATCCTAATGACCCACGACAAGATGACAAGCACACATCCTGAGTGGTCTGCATGGGATTTAAACCCCACTTCTAAGCCACTGAGCTTCTGGGGCTGTTTGTTAATATGGTTTACCCCAGCCCACCCTACACACCTACCTCCCCAAGACTCTTGATGCCCACCGGCCTCACCCCTGCAATGCTGCTGCCACAGTCAGCACCAACGTCACTGTCTGAGCGCTCGTCCGGCTCAGGCACTCAGCTTCCCGGGACGTAACCATGTTCATGCAAGAGAGATGTTGTTAGCATCCCCTAAGAACACGAGGCGGTGGAGGTTAAGTAATTGGCTCTGGATTAGCAAGTCACGGAGCCGGATGCAGCTCTGGACAAGACAGCACAAATCCACAAATCCTAAGCTAAGCAGCTGCCTGGAAATCCTTCTGCTTCCTTCAGATCCCCACCACAGAGTTACTGGATGCCCCAAACGCCCTGATCAGGACTAGGGACAGAGAACTGCATAGCACTTCTCTCTCTGCAGAGTTCTGGAGACTTCTCCAGCGAATCAGTTTCATATGCTACAGCCAAATATATCCCACCCTTCTTCTTTTCACTTCCTAACCTTCTGGAATTATCTTAGACACAAGCATTCCTAATAGAAAATTACACGAGGAAGTTTATCAAAGAAGAGAACATTAGATGCATTATTGCCTCTAAAGGCACACTTTATGAAATATTATCCCCATTTTATAGAGGAGAAACCAAAGGCTGGGTAGGTTGAGGAACTAGATCCAAGGCAAGAGCCAACAAAGTTAGAGCTGAGATCGAACCTCAAGACCTCTGCCTGCAGACCTCCTGCAGCATACAACAGAGCTACGACCGTGCTGGACAGTAGTGAGCTCAGGGTACTGAGTGCGCACAACCTATCAGGGCTGGGCGTGGACTATTCTCGGAACAGTAGCAACAGGATAAGGCATATACTACTATTATGCTCACTTTACAGTCAGGAATTCTTACCTCATTCTCAGTGAGTGGAGGCTTAGAGAAATGAAGTAATTACACAGTGCCTGTGTCAAACACCCAGGAAGTCAATTGCACGTGCATATTCTCACATCCTGGGAAGCCTCCACTTTCACACTCCATCCGTCCAGTCCAGCTCACTGCAACCACTAACCCTGCTCTCTGCTTCTTGGATGGACGTGTGTGCCTCTGGCTTCGTCCTAGGGTTCCTGCATGGGTACCGAGTCTCAGCAGTGAGTGGGGACTCTTTCTTAGCTCCAGTTCAGCTGAGGCCCAGTCTCTGGTTGTTGGACTGTGATACGTTACAGACCACACAGCCACTATTGCCCGCCCAGCCTTATCTCTGCTTGGTGCATGACGTCAACGAAACCCCGCCTGAAAGCTCCAGGAAGGGAAATTCAACCTCATTCTTGAAGAGGTGGGCACCTTTCTGCTGGCTTTCTCTGCTCCCCCATTTCACTGATTTCTCCCTGTGCTCAGGTGATGCCCAAATGACCCCTCCACTCACCACTCTGTCCACTGTCTCTCCCACTCACCCACACATTCCAGAGGGGTAATCAGCGGGCAGGACTCGGAGGGCAGGCTCCAAGGGCAATACCTGTTAGATGCTTTAAGGATGCCCAACCTCACGCTTACTAAGAAAAATACATTTAAAACAACCATGAGACGGCATTTCTCGCCCATCAGGTCGGCAAATGTGAAGTCTGACGACACGTGAAGTCGTGAGGAACCAGGAGCTTTAGCACCTTGCTGGTGGAGATGCAGAACAGCACAGCCCCCCGTGGAGAGGGATTTGATAATGTCCAGCAAAATTCGTATGTGTTTGCTCTCTGGCCCAGAAATTCTATTTCCAGAACTCCATTCCAGAGATACACAGGCAAAAATGAGAAAAAATAGAGATATGTACAGGCTCTATGAGGCATCATTACTTATAATGGCAAAAGAATGGAAAGAGGCCAAACGTTCAGCAATAGGGCTCTGACTGAACAAACTCGGGGAACCAACAAGAGACTATTTACGCAGCTGTAACGCAGTAAGAGGAACATGCTATAGAATATCATGGGGCGGTCCCAGAAAACACTGCTCCGTGAGCAAAGGCGAGGCAGAGAACAGTGGTTACGGTGTGATCCTATTTATCTCAGAAGCTGAGGTGACAGACACCAACAGCCACTGCATTCACTCATATTAACAACCAATGTAAGGGGAAACCAGACACAGAAAAACAGAATTACTCATGGAGACCGGGGAGGGACAGGGTAGAGAGGGGAGGGAGAAAAGCTATACTTGCTCAGACTATACCCTGTCATATAGATTTAACTTTAATATTCAGCATCACATTTTACATAATTGAAAGAAAGATGAATTTTGGGTAAATAATTTCTAAAAACTCAAAAGCAGAATGAAATAAATGAATACCATGCTCTATGGGTGATGATAAAATCACACATGAAGCAACTAGTTAAAGAGATTTTAAAACGCAGTCATCCGACTGACCACCTCTTGTAGGAGATAAGGACAAAAAGAACTGGAAAGAAAAACCACAAATGACTTCCAGCAATCACACTGCTGTTGAAGGCACTGGTGTTAGAATTCGTGCATTCTTGGCTATGTACTAGAGTACTTCAGCGGCTCGTGGGAAACTGAAATTAAACGTTTAGTCTATTTTGGTGAGAAAAAAAATCTGTGCACAGGTTTTTCATAATACGCATTCCCATGGACTTTCTGAACCTTTCTTTTCTTACAAAATGGGGAGTTATGGTGGCATGTGGGGAGCTAGGACTTTTAGCAAGAGCAAAAGGAGATATAGACAAGGTGGTGAGGAAACTATGTCAGGAAGATAAAAGTCTTCTAACACTTGCAATGCTGCATTTCCTTAAAAAACGTATCTCTTTTTTTTTTTTTCCATTGGTTCACCCCCAATGGCCACTGCTGCCAGTGCACCATGCTGATCTGAAGCCAGGAGCCAGGTGCTTCTCCTGGTCTCCCATGCGGGTGCAGGGCCCAAGCCCTTGGGCCATCCTCCACTGCCTTCCTGGGCCACAGCAGAGAGCTGGACTGGAAGAGGAGCAACCAGGACAGAATCCAGCACCCCAACCGGGACTAGAACCTGGTGTGCCAGCGCCGCAGGTGGAGGATTAGCCTATTGAGCTGCGGCGCTGGCCAAAAAAATGTATTTCTTAGCTGTGCTCCTTGAAAAGGCTTAGAAAGGAGGATTAACTCGATCGTAATAATCACCCCCAAGCATTCAGTTTCTAAACATCAGTTTCCAAGGAAGGAGTCACTGGGTCACTAAATCACTAAAGGGATTGAAGAAACTGGTTCTAGGTCAGGGATAGAAAAGGGACAGGCCCCACCGCCTTCAATAAGGCTCACACTATTCAACGGGACAGTCTAGTTATCAAAATGGCAATGTCAAGGGACTCAAACACATGAAATCTGCTCCAATCCACTGGACTGAAATGGCATTTGAAAACGTTCAACTTTGGGGGCCTGTACTGTGGTACAGCAGGTTAATGCCCTGGCCTGCAATGCAGACATCCCAGATGGGTACTGGTTCGAGTCCCGGCTGTTCCACTTCTGATCTAGCTCCTTGCTAATGCAACTGAGAGAGCAGCAGAGGATGGCCAAAGTCCTTGGGCCCCTGCACCCGCGTGGGAGACGTGGAAGAAGCTCCTGGCTCCTGGCTTCAGATCAGCTCAGCTCTGGCCATTGCAGCCATTTGGGGAGTAAACCAGCGGATGGAAGACCTCCCTCTCTGTCTCTCCCTCTCTCTGTAACTCTTTCAAATAAATAAAATAAATCTTAAAAAAAAAGTTCAACTTTGGAAGATGTTCAGATGTCATCCTGCTAATACAAAACTGGCAAACCAAGCAAAATAACTAGGTATTTTAAAGTATTTATGTACTCTATTTCAGAATGACCAAACAGTTGATGAGGACAAGGTTTCTTTAAGTATTCCAGTGTATAAAAGGAGAAGAGATGATGGAATCTTACCACTTTGCAGTTTCTAGGCTGTAAT